AACTAAATCAAAGAAACTTGTCTGTCGTATTCAATGATATATACATATATATATAGGAAGAGAGATTGAGACTTTATATCAGACACTCCAACGTGGTGTAAATGGTTAGATCAACTACAACTGAGTAGTGAGTTTGGCTCTCACTGTGCGCACCACACTTTCGGCCTTGTGTCATATCTAGGCTACACTTAGAAAATCATAATGAGCAGTTCAACGTGGTGCGATGATTAGCAAGCTTGTATTACTAAGTCAGGTAAGACTGAGTAATGAGTTCCATCCTCACTGGCTGCTCTATAATCTCGGTCTTGGGCCGCGACTAAACTATACTTAATAAATCTCACTATATATATATATATATATATATATATATATAGATAGATAGATAGATAGATAGATAGACATAGAGAAAGAGACTAAGATAGATATAAATAGACTGATAGATATGAATAGACTTAGATAGCTAAAGAGACAGACAGATAGATATGAATAGACTAAGACAGATATGAAGAGATGTAGATAGATAGATAGATAGATAGATAGATAGATAGATAGATAGATAGATAGAGTTTTTCATTTAAGGGCGCTCACTTATGTAAGTGTTAAGCGGATGTATCCACGACTCTACAATGTTTATTTAACGAGTTACAATAAAATGAAAACATATCCAAACTTAATGTCAGAAAAATGTATAAACAGGATAATTATTTTTCTTGTCTAAATCATGAAAATTAAGTAAATAAATAGTTAAATTCCTCTATAATTTCGGTCGTGGATGTCATTTCTAAAGCATTTACAACACATCACTCAATTAATTGTTCGAAACATCTTTCGAAATATCCAGATAGAAATACTGTTTCAAATATGTTAGAAAGAAGAAACTATTGACCCGTGTAGAATATATAACATTTGAAAATATTCCTTTGAGCCCTGACCACCCATTTACCGGTGATAGAGAAAAATGACTTCATGTCCAGCCACCGGTTGAACGGTGGTAGAGAAAAATGACTTCATGTCCAGCCACCGGTTGAACGGTGGTAGAGAAAAAGGACTTCATGTCCAGCCACCGGTTGAACGGTGGTAGAGAAAAAGGACTTCATGTCCAGCCACCGGTTGAACGGTGGTAGAGAAAAATGACATCATGTCCAGCCACCGGTTGAACGGTGCTAGAGAAAAATGACTTCATGTCCAGCCACCGGTTGAACGGTGGGTAAACACTTCTAACTATTTTTTATATCTGCCGTGAAACATTACATAACAATTATTTGCAAATGTTGGCTCAGGAGCTCAGGCAGAAATGTTAAATTTGTCAGGTACACAGGCATCAAAGGGTTAAAACTAAAGATTTCAGGAATAATTTGGAAAACAAGGAAAATAGTACTAAAATGTTACGTGATATCTGTCCTTCTGTATGGCAGTGAATTCTGGACGATCTCTTCAATGATGAAGAAGAGACTTGAAGCAACAGAAATACAGTCCTACAGGAAGATGCTGAGAATATCATGAATTGAACACGTGAGCAACAATGAAGTTTTGGAGAAAATGAAAACAAAAACGAAACTAATATTTAACATCATGAAGAAACAGTTGAGGTTTCTGGGACATATATTGAGGAAGGAGGTTTGGAAAATTCGATACCCACAGGACAGATTGAAGGAAAGAGGGACAAATGAAAACAACGCATAACCTACCTAGCGAGCTTGAGTAAATGGATGATGGGACAGGATTTAAGAGAAATAACAGAAATTCAAAGTTTATTAAGAGCTACAAAGGACAGGAAGTTGTGAACAGCCATGATCGCCTACGTCCTGAGGGGATACGACACATAAAGAAGAAATATTAAGATGAAATGACATTTCTCCATCATTACAGAATACATGCCGATGTGCATACCGACTTTGTAAGTCGTCTTTTTTTAAAAGGCTAATTATTTAAAATCTTACTTAGCAGTTGCAAATTAAAATAATAAGTCTATTTAATTCTGGGAGAATATATTATGATCAGATGAGACAAAATTAAAACAATTAGAGCATAATGAAAAAATTTTCGCGATATCAAGATGAGGCTTTCAATCCGATGATGACGATGTACCGCCAACAAATGACGCTGGGGATACTACACTGGAACGAAAGAAAAAAGAAGAAAAACGAGTAATCTGCAAACCTGAATATTATTGCAATGAAATGTTGTAAAATATTCGTCAATATTTGTGCCATTTTAGTAAAAATTTAAAGAAAAAATTCGAAAAAGATTTTACTCAAATAGAATATAAAGCAAATTACTAATTTCATTGTTTATTTTATTTTTAAATATTAAATTTATTCTCTTTTTATTTAAACTATTTAAATTCAGACTATTTTCCTTATGTTTAGTATTATTATTACAACGTTTTGGCTGTTGTGTCCTCCGGCCTTCTTGAGGTGTATATTGATTTGGGTAACCTACAGGGAATTCTGAACTGAACCCTTTAGTTAATTGACGGGAGTAGACTGTTCTCGTTCCACTCCACATGTCTTTAGAAATCTCATTTAGTTCTGATTTTTAGTATTGCATAGTTATTGCTCGTCCATTTCCACTGAGTACCAAGTCCCGACCCAGGGACTGAACTCAAAACCACTATGTCACTAAAGTCATGAACCAAAGCTTTAATCTACTGGACAGAAAACTTGATTAAATTCAACTGAAAAAGTGTGATTCAATTTTTATTGTATTCTTACAATTTTCGAATATGATGTATATCGTCTCGTTTTTTTTATTTTATTTTTAGTACTGCACAGTTATTGGTCGCCTGAGTCCAAGTATACTCTCCTACCTAGGGATTGACTCCACTATAATTTAGCCGGATCAATATGCACCGGAGGGAGACCATTGTGATAACAAGATGAGGACAATCGTCCGTATATAAATAGCGTAAATAATGATAACTCCTCACCCCAGAAATTAAAACAGAAATTATTTTCCTTTTGATTAAAATTATTCAAAATTAAAATTTATTGTTTATATATTTTCTAACGTTGCCCTAGAATTACTTACGTTTTTCAAAAACTCTTTGCGAGTCAAATATCGACTTAATCCTTATTGACACATGCTGCTGATCTTACTTGTTACTATTTGTGGTATTCACCCGAGATTGGTTGAGCTGACTCCGTTAAAAATATTTGTTGCATCCTGAACGAAAGCTGACCAGCAGAGGCGGTCGGATGCAATTGAGTCAGTAAGAGCTAACCAATCACGGTTTCAACGGTCCGAGTAGACGTCATATTCATTTGGACGTGCAAATTCATAGCAGGACTTTCAGTAGTAATTTGGATTCACCAGAGGTCCCCTGTCGCATGTATAGATACTTTTAGGATAGTGCGATCTGAGCAGTAACTCGGTTAGGACGCCGACACATGCGCTTTACACACCCAACCCAATCTGGTGGTGACAAAGTCGCAACAAGGATGCATGGAAAGAGTTTGACAAGTAGAGACACGTAGTCATCAGATAATCACGTGACCATGTCGCACAGCCTATTTTAAGCCACTTTGTAGGCTAACAGTGACTCACCCCACTGTCCAACTCAGATATACCGGCCCTTCGACCCCCATGCTGCTGATCACGGGGTCATAGATAGGTAACGAATTTGTTTTTATCTTTATTATCAGATGACAAGCATAATGGATTTTTATTGTTAGATCGAATTTATCTTTATTGTCATATGATGTAAAACATAAATCCGAATTATCATTACGAGCCAAATCCTCGTCTTACGGACATTTTTCTTCATAACAATTTTAAAATTATTCAGCAGACGATGTTATTTTATTTATGGTAACTGGATTTTTAGCGATTGCTTTACTTGGTTTTCGTCGTTCAATAAATGACACATATATCGCAGTGGTATTGCTTCTCGATCTTTTGGCTGGGGAAGGTTTCAAATAATATTAAGCCTAATCCTCAAGGGGCCTTCCCTTCAGGCAGTATCTCACTTTCGGAAGAGAAATGGGTTTACCGCCTGGCGCCTGAGGCGTGCCGAAAAGGCTAAGTGCTGATAGGACTTGGGCAATTTTTCCACAATATTACTGTTAAACCCACTTTAAACTGACCTTGTGTCACATTTGGTAGCGACGTGGGTGCACTGAAAAATAGCCGCTTCTCGACATGTTGTCTAATGTCAAAGTTTAGTATATTTTCTTATCTTAGTCTTATTTTCTCTCTCCCCATTTCTATCTTTTCTTCTTTCTTTCTTTTTTCTTTCTTTTTCTCACTGAAACCAGAGTACTCTATTTTGGCCTATTTTCCACTCGATCCAAATGGAATAGTCTATTATTTATGAGGTATTGTCAGGTCGTAATGGTCGTGCGAAGTAATGAAAAGACAGAGGAGCACACATTTTATCCGCTTCTCAGGTGCCAGAAACTCATCAAAGCATAGCTATAGAAAATTTTCATCTTCACCAAGTCTTGTAGCAAGATCCAATTTATTCTAATCCTCAGGTGATTGCAGGGATGATCGATAGATTGCTAGATCGATTCCATAGTTATTGTCAAGTCTCGTATATCACGGGTATAATGGATCCATAGCTCGATCCAATTTATCCTTATCCTTAGATTGATTGATTTGTTATTTACGGATTATCAACCTTTCAGCGGTTATTTAATAGAGAATTTTTGGAGATAATAATGATTTTCTGATACAAGTCTTACAATTTAATCCATGGCTGGGAGGAGATGTGGAGACATTCTTTCCCTCGGGGTATTTGCACGTAAGTGAATATAAAGAACTCGGCTTGAATTTGAACTCCGTTCACCGATTTCTCCTTCCAAACCTTTATCCATTACACCACTCGAACATCCATGCTTGCACACATGGAATTTCGCAGCGGTCACTCATCCAGGCATTGGCCAGGTTCAACGTTACTTAAGTTCGGTGATCGGACTAGAGCCGGCGTTTCAACTTGGTATGGCCCTAATCCCTTATCCATTAGGATAAGGGATTAGGGCCATACCAAGATATAGATCATGTATCTATATCTTGGTATGGCCCTATACTTAGATATAGATCATGAGTTTCTTTACTGTTAAATACTGTTGATTGCATGTGCCTTGAGTCTATCTAGATAGAAATTATTGTCAATATCAGATGCCTTGGATCAATAATCATTAGTCTATACTTGGATCCAATTTATCTTTATTTTCAAATGCCATAGATTAGAAGGTCATAGATCTGGAAAGAATTATTCGACAATCTCATTTGCTATCCTGATCACTGCTATCCTAGTCGCATATACCTTCATTGTCCAACGCTATAGATTAAGAGGTATCGTTCCATTACTAAATTGTATATATCGTTATTGTCTGGTGCCATAAGTTATGGTGTTCATGAGTCATTAGTTTCAACGAATATATTGTTATTGCAAAGTACTGGGAACCATGGCTTCTACGGTTAGATTAAATTCATTATTATTGTCAAATATTTAAAATAACATGGGATATGGATTTCAAAGTTCGATTTCATCATTAATATCAAGTCCCGAGTGCTGTGTGTCCATAGTTAAATTGAATTGTTCATTAAGAAATAATATTATGTAACCTGTTGTGAAGAAAGACGAGTGACCTCCTCTACACTAATTGTTGATCCGTCCATTCACTATAAATAGGACGTCTGCTCCTAGGAAGAGGAATCGCAAAGTGGGTCGCAAGGCTCCATCTGCATTTTCTATGTTCAGGAACAGTATTTCCATTAATATGTATTCAAAGAGTTGAATCTTACTAATTTGAACAGTTTCTAGACAATATCAATTCCCATCCAACCATGTCTATCATAATATTCGTAACATAATAACTTCTCATAGACTCTCTTCCTCTCTCTCTCTCTTTTCTCTTTCTTCCCTCCCTACACACCCTCCCTCTCCCCCTATCTCTCGCACCACTTATCTCCCCCTCTTCTCTTCTCTCTCTCCCCTCTCTCAGTGTCATTTGGGGGCACTGGCATCAAACAAGTATCAATTCCAGGTATTTATTTTTATTATTGTTCATCCGATGCGTTGACACAGAGTGATGACTTGTACAGAGAAATAAAGTTGACTGCTTGCCGTGTCAAGGGGAGGTAACTCTTTTTGTACATCCCATTAATTTCTCTTTTTCTGTTTTTTTTTCCAATCCCCACATGTAAAACTAAAATCGTTATATTAAATTAGGCTTACCGCTCCAACACGTTGAAACACCGGTCCCCCGTCCGATCATGGAAGTTAAGCAACGTTGAACCTAGTACCTAGATGGGTGACCGCTTGGATGTGCAGGTGGTGTAATGGATAATGACTCGGAATAATTAATCGGAGAGACGATCTTCAGTTTCATTCGTTATATTCACTTCCGCGTAAATACTTTTGGGAAAGATAAGAATCCATCTCTTCTCCCTCAGCTATGGGTTAATTAGTAAGATTTGTATCACTAAATCATTATTATTTCCACCAAAACTCTTACAATCTAGAAATAATTTCTGACTTTAAATAACCTAGAAAGGGTCGAGAATTCGTTTTTTTAAAGAATTTATATTAAATTATTCCACGTTTTATGGACTGTTATATTGAACATTTGTAAGCACAATTCAATCTCAGCATTCTGGTGACCCTCTTTATTATTTTTTCAACCTACGCTTTGTTGGACAAGCTTGAAATCCCCGACACCTTTCATGTCAACCTTTCTCTGATCGATTAAAAGCACGCCCTCTCCTATTTCTGCTGCCACCGAACAAGTGGCCAAATTTCTGTGCATTTACAAGGCACATGCTTCGAGCAATTAGATCCCATTTTACGTCAACGTCGACAGCTCCTAAGTGGAGAATTTGATTAAGGTCCACTGGATGTCCGATTATATGCGATATTAACAACGCCGGCTTGAAATCTGTGCTGGGAAAGACGTCTTTGTCAAATGACTGGCGCCAAAGTCGAATCGTCTGAAGTTCTATGATTAGATAATCGTGAAAGAATTGGTAAATTAATTTCTTCGGTTAATGCATATTAAACCGATTTAAGGAAAAAGTTTCCTAGTTCCTGAATGAATGACTTAGAATGTTTTCAAATCATGCTGATGGTATCCCAAATTTCTTATAGGGGTTTGTGACATAAAAAAAAAAAATTATCTATATTTTATGTCTTCCAATTAATTCAACTTAGAAATAATATCATATACAATCAATGAGTTAAACTGCAGGGTAGGTTGCGTCTTGGTTGGCAACCAGGGAAGGAGAAGGAAAACTCGCCAACTGGAAACTACTCCACTCTCATATCTCTAGAAATCATGGCAATCCACATATAAGCAAGAAAACGGGGGCACCTCAAGGCGGTGTAATGGTTAGCAAGCTTGTCTCGCTAGAACAATTACAACTGAGTCGTGAGTTCGATTCTCACTGGGTGCCCCATACTTTCGGTTTTGTGCCACATCTAAGCTATACTTGGAAAATCACTATGAGCAAGAAAACGGAATCTGACGAGCCGTGATCACTTACTTACCTCATGAAGAGGCTTAGCCTTTTTTAAAATCACCCAATACAAGGCCCAAGAGCTACTCAGGCTAGAGGGCTACTGTGTGATGATGTATTAGCGTAAGAAAGGGAACAAGTGAAGTTCCTGGGACTATATCGGAAAGACAACGGCTAAATCAAGATTTGAAAAGGTCAAGATTTAATTAGGGAATGGCATTTTAGACTTCAGTTAGATATGTTAGAAGTAACAGTGCGAAAGTGGACTTTAGAAGGATCCGGAAACCCAATCCTAAACCGGAAACAAGGGATAAACCACTACTCCTGTTCAAAAGACAGGGGAGATATGTGAACCAGACGATAGGCGAACCTACCTATCTATATAAATAAGCTTGCATGTTTAACTATTTACTAAGTTTTGGTCATTTAGGCATTATGTCAAAAACACTGGACAACCAGTGAGGATCGAACACATTTTCTTTGTGGGTATCCGAAAATTCTAATTTTTAACATCTTTTTCATCAGACACACATTTGATTAAAATGCTGACTAATATACGAAATATATTATTAGTCTTATTATCAATATCATTTTTGTTGTTTTTTTTAACTCTAAAATTTCTTTCATCGGCCCAGTTTCGTTAAAATGTCTGACAAATACGGCGGTTAAATTTTTCATTTAGCCGTGTGAGTAGCACGGTACAAGCGGATTTCTGAGATGAGGTATTATGCACATTATTTACATTATTCGGACTATTGTCCTCATCAGAAATTCAAACCCAGCTGCCCTCAAGGACACATGGCACAGTGGATGAAGGCGTTGGTTAGAGTGTGAGTTCACTACCCGGTTAAGTGGTGTTGAGCGGTCTCTGACTGCGCGCGCCTTCTGTCGAACTCTCTGCGTTAGCAGAGAGGAACCTGGACGAGGCTTTGTCGAAGGGCAAGGTTTCGTCCGGGGAGGTAGACAGGGCCTGAACCCGTCAAAGGCTATATTTTTGGCCGAGCCTACGGGCTCGGGGATACCCACATTAAAACGGCCTTGTGCCATATTCGGTCTTCGTGGGTGGAACGATAAAAACTCAATACCCGGTTAAGGCAGTGGAGAACTTGGAAAGGGGAATTAACAGGAGTTAACTGATAACTGACATCCATCAAACATGGCACGTGGAACTAGAACAGTCTACCCCAGTGAGCGAAATAAAGGGTTCAGTTCGATATTGTGATAAATATGGCGACAAAGATGAGGACACTAGTCCGAATAATGTAAATAATATATATATATATATATATATATATATATATATATATATATATATATATATATATGGGGTGTATGTGTGTGTGTGTTGCATGTGAGCGTGTGTGTGTGTTTGCGTGTGTGTATTTAGGCAATATACCTTAATTAAGGCATATTTCATTGAATAATATAGACATATATTTTTATAATAATCCTTTCTAGTTCTCTAATTAACTTATTGATTTTAATTGAAATTCATCACGGAAGGCGCCATAGTTTTTGCGAGACCAAGTACATTCGATCGCCTGAGATTATACTCAGGAGTAAATTCACAAAACAAACTTAATGTTACTGCCATCGTTGTAATAGTGATTTTTGTAAACACTCGTTAAATCTTAAATTTATCTGTTGTAGCTATGCTTATTTTGTAAACAAGCGTCCACAATGTAAGGGAGCTAAGCAGAAATGGTAAAAATGCAACATGACGTTAGATGTTCGTCAAATGCATTTTAAAACATTGCGAATAGACTCGTAAGCGATTTGTTCAGTGTTGCTTTTGATATCAAGGGCCTCGAGTTTTGATATCAAGGGCCTCGAGAATTTAAAGATTTTTTTTTATTATTATTTTCCTGGTGTAGCATATTGATGTTGTCAACAAGTATTTTCTTGAAGTGTGAAATTGGACAGGAATGCGTCCTTAAATGTTGTGCGATAGAACTTGTATTCGACAAATGGATTGTAAGACAACTTGATAATGTTGTGGTCTCTAAGCCAACATATGTACTTACTTTTTTATCAGAGTAAAATCTCCCAAAGGACATTTAAACTGATATACAATATTTATCTTTTCCAAAACACTAGTTGATGGAGTTATTGCATATGATTAAGTTGGTTCTGTTAAATTTGGGGTAGTATATAATTAGTTTTATTTTTTACTTTGATCATTTGGGAATATATTAGTACTTATGAGTAAAGGAATGTAAAAGACGCTAACGGAAATTGGAACTCGGCTCTCCGATTAACACATCTTAGCCCGTACATCCATGCTGACAGCACTTGGTATTCCCAAGCGGTAACCTATCTCTGTACTGACCAGGCACGACGTTGCTTAACTTCGGTGATCGTACGGGAACCGGTGTTTCAATATGATATGGGCGTAAGTCTTTTAAGATAGGAGAAAAAAAACAAGAGCAATTGATTCAAAGGAAAGACAATTGCGATGAAACTCGTAACAGCGAA